AGCAGTTGGAGTAATGGCTATGTTGCTGGACTCCCATGTAGTCGACCGAAGTTCGAGTCCCGGACCTGGTGGCTTAAACTCACGCCGGGCGCGTGTGCGTACGTGCCCAAGATCCCAAGAGGAGAATGGAGGAGAAGGGATTGTGGTGTGGCCATCCCCCGGGGGTGATTTCTCGCTTTCTGTCTCTCTGTCTTTCTAGCGAGCACATGCACCTATAGTAAAAACCTCTCCGTAAGAAAAACAAGGACAGTCAACACAGCAAGATACACAAGTGGGAAGCGAAAGCGAAACAGGCAATACGGAAGGGGAAATGGACCCAGGAGAGCCGCAGGGGCTCTGAGTAGGCCCCGCGTCGGCCATAACCTGGGTTGGCTCCAGGCCCCAAAGAGCCTCAGGGCAGCAGTGCCAGGTCGGGCTCAGCCCCAGGTAAGCGGGTGGGCAGGGGTGAGCGTACCTGCCTGGCCACAGGGTGAGTGGCCTGGGCCCCATGGCCAGCGGGGGACCGGCTGAGGGGGGTCTGCCACCGCCCACAGGGCCTCTTCCGTGATGAGCCGGGAGGCTGCCGTGTGATGCAGGCTTCCTCCCTTTGGCCCTGTGGCTCTGGGACCACCCCGTTCATTTTGTTCTTCTGTCTGGCAAGCGCACACGCCCTATAGCAAAAACCTCTCCAAAAAAAAAAAAGAAGAGAATTTTTGCTATAGGCTACATGCAGAGGGACGCCCAGGAGACAGACAGAAAGCGAGAAATCACCCCCCAGGGGGGATCCTCTTGGGATCTTGGGCACGCACACACACGCGCCCGGTGTGAGTTTAAGCCTCCGGGTCCGGGACTTGAGCCATGATAGACTGTGTGGGGTCCAGGGATGTAACCATCATGCCATCTGCTGGTCCCAGCACCATTCTTTTTTTTTTTAATTTTTTAAAAAATAATTATTGGGAACCAGCAGTTAGCGTAATGGCGTGACCATCCCCCCTGGGGGGTGATTTCTCGCTTTCTGTCTCTATGTCTCTCTCTGTCTGTCTGGTGAGCGCATGCGCCCTATAGTGAAAATCTCTCCAAAAAAAAAAAATAATAATAATTATTTAATTTTATTTAGTATTCTTCGATTTGACTGGAGAAAGAGAGAGAGGGAGAGTGAGAAAGCAAGCTGCCAGGTCCAGAACTTGAACCGGGATCAGCCATGTGGGAGTCCAGCAATTTAACCACCATGCCACCTGCCAGCCTCACCTCATTTATTTTTTTTAAAGAACTATTTAGGGGCCAGTAGATGGCATACTACATCGCTGGACTCCCCCATAATCGACTACCCTTCAAGTCCTGGATCTGGCAGCTTGAAATTCACATCAGGTGTGTGTGTGCATGCGCCCAAGATCCCAGGAGAATGGAGAAGGGATGTTGGTGTGGCCATCCTCCTGGGGGGTGATTTCTCACTTTCCCTCTCACTGTCTCTGTCTCTCTCTCCAGTGAGCACATGCACCCTAAGGCAAAAACCTCTCAAATAAAATAAGAATCATTTCATTTATTGATTTTCATTTGACTGGAGAAAGACAGAAAGTAGAAAACAGGTCTGAGACTTGAACCATGGTCTGCCATATGGTAGTCCAACACCTTAGCCACCACACCACCTACTGGACCCAAAGGTTCCATTCTGAGTCCAGACATGATTGGGGAGGACCATGACATTACCAAGCAGCAATGGGCCACCTGGAAGGCCAGCTGCAGCTGTGTCCCCCTTGCGGTGGTGTGAGGGGAGCTGGCTCTACCCAAGCTGGGGCTGGGGACCTGACTGGTAGGACTTGTGGCTGGAGCCCAGCTGTCTACTCCGCATGGGCACCGTGGCCCTGCACCGTGGCCCGTCATTGTCTGTGAGCACTGTGCTACTCACAGGGAGCCCCAGGTGGGACACAGCCATGTCTCCCCACCTGCTGTCTCTACTACAGAATAGCAGGGTCCCCAGGCCTACCTGTCCACTGCCCTCCCCCTCAGGATGCCGCCTTCCTCCCTGGAGCTGGGCTCCGGCCACAAGTCCTTCTACCAGTCAGGTCCCCAACCCCAGCTTGGGTAGAGCCCATCTGCCCTTGCTCAGATGGGGCAACACCAGCCTGGTTCCTGTCACGCCCTGTCCTGAGGCCCCAGCCTGCAGAGTAGCCAGCTGGCCCCACCGGCTGGCGGACCACGGCTGGGAGGAACGGGGGTCTGCGGCCTGGCTATGCCAGGAACTGGCCTGACCCCACCAGCTGGCCCGCCACGGGCCCAGGAGGAACACGGAGGCCCTGCTCAGGTGCTCCTCAGAGAGGCGGACCTTCCTCCAAGTTAGCCCAGCCCTGAAGGCCCAGACACCAGGTCTCTTCTGGTGATGGCTCCTCAGCCCTTCCCAGCCTGGATGCCACCAGGATGGGCCCCTAGACCAGGCCTGACCAGAGGCAGAGGCCAGGACGCATGCCTGCAGCTCATAGGTGTCTGCCTGCCACCCTGCTGGGCCTAGGGTGACATGCTCCTGTGTCCTAGGGCAATGACAGCACGTTTGCCCAGTCTTTAGTGGGTCAGGGTGTCCTGAGCAGGCAAGTGGCAGGGTGGGGCCCACTGGGTCCCAAGGTCCAGTTCGGCAGAGGGGATAGGATCCCTGGCCAGCAGGTGGCAGCACAGACCGCGTGTGCAAAGCAGGGGTGGTTGCAACAGCAGCCCCAGATCCTGACAGGCTACACCAGCTCCAGGCTCCAAGCCCTCAGCGCCCTCACGTCGTCCACTAATAGCCGAAAGCCAGGGTGGGGGGTGGAGGTCAGGGGATGGGATAGGAACCACGCCCTAACAGCCCCACACCAGGATCCCTCCTATGGGCCCCTCCTAGCAAGTCAAGGGGCTGGGGCACCTGAGGCCCTAAGGGGGCTGGGGCTGCCAGTGAGGGGGTGGCACAAAGAAGCCGCCAGCCTGGGAGGAGCTGGAGGGTGGGAGGTGGCTCAGCCCGAGGGCTGCGGTTTAGACAGGTGACCACCTAGAGGTAGGCAGAGAAGCCTGGGTCTGACTGCAGCTGAAGAACCGCTTCCTCAGCCACCCAAGCTTCTCTGTCCTGCAGGGCGGGGCTGAGGACAGGGCCAGCCTCTTCCCCAGGCCCAACCACCTCAGCCTTAGACACTCACGCTGGGGCCTAGCAGTTTGAATGCCCACCCCCTGGTCCCCGTGTTCCTGACTGCACACCAGCCTGGGAGCTGCAGGGAGGCAGAGTGGACAGGATAGTAGAGTCCACGGGATAGTCCAGGGAAGGCATGGCAGAGTGACCGCCTGCCGGCTACTACCCCCCCCACCCCGATACACTAAGGGCGAGACTTGAATCCTGGCAGCTGTCTGCCCCAACCCCCAGCAGCGCATCCCAGCAGAGGCCAAGCACACTCTGAGAGGCAGGCAGGCCAAAACCCTAGTTTATTTCAGCATCAGCAACATCTTAGCCATCAAAAAAATAAACTCTACCAAGGGCAACAGGAGTCTCTACAGCGAGGCTAAGGGCTCAGCTGCCGGGCGGCGGGCATCGGGGGTGCGTGGTGGGCGCTGCCCGGGAATAAGTTAGGACGCAGCGGCTGGCGCGGCACTAGCTCACTTCTGGGCAGGCACCAGGTCGTCGATGGCCTGGCCCTGCTCCAGCCGCGCGCCCCTCCGTGTGAGGCGC